TGTGACCGATTTCTCACTTTCTGTCTCTTTCTGTCTCTCCAGTGAGCACATGCACCCTATAGCAAAAAAATCTCTCCAAAAAAAAAAAGAAGTCCTCTAAGACCAGGCCAGCCAGTGGCGTGGAGGTTAAGTGGCCGGATCCCATATGGCAGACTGAGCTGTTCGTGTCTCAGATCCGGCAGCTTAAGAACTGGGCTTGTGGGCCCCAAATCCTGAAAGAAGTGGCAGGGGGATTACAGCCTGGGTGCCCCCTCGGGACGCTTTCTCACTCCACCTCTGCCTCTCTGCAGCCTCTCTGGCCAGCACACTGCCGTCTAGCAAATTGGCGGGAAAAACCTCCTTTAAGACTCAAATTTTAGTGCAGTCTTTTAGGTTCCTCTTGTTTCAGGAGGTCCAAGAGGAAGAGGGGCAGCCCTCGTGGCGCCCAGGAGGCTCTGAGGTGGTGCTCAGTGGGCCGCCCGGGGGCCGCTGTGTGTCACGGCACCATGCCGCAGGTGTTCTCACGCGGGGACGCCTCCCTGCTGTTATGTGGGTGAAAATGAAGAACTTCCTTTCAACTGGGATAAGCCCTAGAGTAAGAAGCTTAATGTTTAAACATGGAAATAAGTATTTGCTAGAATACATTTTAAAAGAAAATCACTTAAGTTCCTTCTTGTTTTAGTTTAAAAGTTGTGTTTTATTTATTTCCATTTGCTTTTGTTGGGAAAGTTTGGCCTTAAGCTTTACTTCTTAATATGTATATTTAGAGAAATGCCTGCGAAAATGTGACTGCCTGGGTCCTGCCCCTCCTAGCCCAGAGACAGAGCCTGGACACCCTAGTCCCCTGTCCCTGGCAGGAATCCTTCTGCCTATTTTGGCACCTCAGACCTCAAAACAGTTTGGCAGTGAAGAGGAATTAATGAGCTTGTACCAAACTGGCCTCTCCGGAAGTCAGAAGTAATCCTGACAGTTTCTTGAAGAACCAGCTTTGCTTTTGCAAGTCCAGGTGTGTGTTCGCGAGAGGAAACCCTGCAGTGCACACGTGCTCCGTGCAGAGAGCTGGCATGCCTTGCCCTCCTGTGGCCAGGTCCCCAAAGGTGGCCTTAACACAGGACACCGGGTCGCCCGCCTTCGCGTAGTCACGGGGCCAGAGACTCGGCAGTGCTGCGGTCGGCTCCGGAGCGTTAGGGTCAGCAGTTACTCATTGTAACTACCTACTTCCTTGGCCGTCTGGATGGTTCCGTGCTCACCCTTAGTGACGTTTACGGCCGCACAGGCATCCCGGTGTTTGGGCGAGAGGTTGGCGAAAGAGGTGCAGTTATTGGCAAGGGCCACCTTCATCCGTGCACGGCCAAGTCTGTCTCCTGACTTCTCCCGGGACAGAACCAGCTGAATCGGTGACTTGTGCCTTTGGAGCCAGGTCCTGCTCTGGCCTTCTCTCTGCCCTACGCATTCCCCGCGGTTCCACTTCACTTCCTCCCCGTGTCCGCCCGCATCCCCAGCATCCCAGGCATCCCCGGCGCCCTGCCGATGGCCCTGCTGCGCTCTGCTCTCCCCCGCTTCCCCTGCTGCTTGACTCGTCCCCTTTCCCGCCATTGCGCCCTGGCCCCCTGACGTCTGGACGCCCCTTATCTTCTCCTTCACAGGGCCTGCAGTCCTGCACCCGGCGCCGGGGCAGGCTTGCACCCATGTTCGCTGACGCGGCCTGGCGGAATAGCGCCAGTGCGCGCCATATAGGTCAGGTTGCCCGATGACGCAAACCCCAAACCAAACACATTCTTCCTACCATTCTTGTTCCTAAGGCTTTGGAAATGAAACGAGCCACGGAGAAGAAGCACGTTGCTGGAAGGAATGTAGAGTTCTGGCTTTCTACGCGTCCGCCGTAGCTTCAAACTGTGACCTCTCCTTCTCTTGGGGGCAGCCTCAGAGGTTGTGCGTCGACACCTGTTCTCTCTGCATACATGTTGCATACATGACAGTGCATGCAGGCGAGAGTGCATGCAGGCCATAAAGTCGAGTCGGCCCCCATACCCGGATGCGTTCATTTAATGAGCAGAAGCAGGAATCGTTACTTGGTGTCGGGCTGAGCAGTTCACCCTGCTTTTGCTTTGTCATCGCACACGGTTACGGGTAAGAACGTCTGGCTGCACAGCCACGTACCACCGGGCAGGGCTGCCTTTGCCCGGGATCTGACCCAGGCCTGCTCCTCACAGAGAATTTTGTGCCCTGACTCACTCAGAATGGAGCTGGCTAAAGAGTTAGGGACCAGGGAGAAGACTTAACTAAAAATAGGGGTGAACTTTTTGGTGTTCACATACCACTCATTTTTTTTAATTTATCCCTTCCATGGGAAGGGGAGATGTGGAGAAAGAGGGCCCCCCGCCAGGGTCTCCGTGCTGCAGCCCACCCCAGCCCCAGCTGGGCTGGTCACGGCACACACGCAGGTCTGGCATGCACAGGGCAGTCATGGCCCTGGCCCTGGCCCTGGCCCCTCGGTGCCGCTATGCCATGCCTGGCACAGAAGCTCCCTTTTTGTTATCAACCTGTGCGGGGTCGTGGGCAAAGGGCAGAAGTTGGAAACAGATGGCTGAGGTCAGTGGCCACTGCTGACCCATGGTGAGGGAGCACCCGAGGTCACGTGACTGGTGTCCGTTTGCACCTGCTTCCCGAGCTTGCCAGCGCCCGTGCAAGACTGAGGTTCTCGGCGTACCTGGTGCCAGCACCAGGCCCATGTCCGCAGGCTGGTACCCTTGAACGTCCACTGACCCTGCATGAATGACTCCCTGTGAAAACCCAGGGTAGCCAACGTTTGCCTTTTCCCTCGTCCCTCCACGGGGCCTTCCAGAACAGGCCACGCTCTCCCTGAGCCCAACTCCGCTCTCCCTCGCCTCCTCGGAAGCTGCCCAGCAATAGGCCTTTCTGGCTGGAGAAGTGGATATAAGTCGTGGAGAGAACAGGGCGCGCAGCCTGAGGTCACGAGGGCGGACAGTTTGGTATGACGAGGTCCCGCCCACCAGGGTGTGAACCCCTGCTTGATTGCTGCCTGGTAATGAAGTGGGTGCCAGGCACCTTTTTCCCTCCCATCCTAAGTGGGTCAGGGAAAAAGTATCTGCCCGTAACACCTTTTGTGTGTCGCACCTGCTCCCAGAACACCCAGGTTAGGGCGCTGTGTGTGGCCAGTGTGTTGCCAGTCCCCCTCGGCGTACTGCTGTCAGGGGACCGGTACTTTTCAGCTCGGTTCAGGAGTGACCCAGACGCACGGCGGGTTTGGGGAGCTTTACTAGGAATAAAGTGTGCAGGTTATTGTGTCAGTGGCTTCCTTGCACATCCGAGCGGAGGCAGGACAGGAGCTTCTGCTCAGACTGCGCGCTTCGGCTGGGCTATCTGCTTGCTTATTGGTTTAGAAATTCTTGCACTCACAGGCCCTGTTGGAAATTCCTAGCGTGTCAGCGTTGATTACGCCTTTAAAGTGACCACACAGACTTTGCACCGCCTACGCCCCTGTAGCCGGGTGGACCCTGCTGGCCTGTACTGCGTCTGTTGTGCTTCTTGTTTCTGATAAGAAGCCGCATTGTTAGGGACCGTGTTTACTGATGGTGGGTCAGTGTGGACAGTTTACAGTGCTGGGTGTTGACAGAATCGGGTGTTTCACTGAGGACTCTGGGCGAGGAAGCATGATTTATTCAGGTCACGGAGGTGGCGTGCAGCAGCCGGATTGGAACCCAAGGCCTTGGCCACCTTGCAGCTCCTGGTAAGGGAGCCAGCTCCTACACAGCCCACTGTGGTCCCACTCTCAGCCCTGGTAGTTTGAAAACAGCACCAGGAGTTAGCGTGCATGTGCCCCGAATCCAACAGAACGGAGAAGTCGAGGAGCAGGGCTTGCGGGCAGCCGGACCCCCAGCAGACCTCCCTCTCTCCCTTCCTCTGTCTTTCTGTCTCTCTCCCCGGTGAGTGCAGGCACTCTCTGGCAAATTAAAAGGGAATACCCCCAAAAAACTGAAAGTCCTTGTTATTCTGCAGGCATGGTGTTGGCTGGCCCCGGACCTCCCAGCGGGACACACGCAGAAGCATGTGGGAGAAAACGTGTGATTTTATGTAATATTCACGTAACCACCACCAAAACGTTTGGTATGCCCATTAGCATGTAGTGCTTCCAAAATTAAAACATTTGTTTTTTTGAAACTAAATTTTATTATTTGAGTTTTCAGTTTTTATTATTAAGCTAGCAGGGTAAAAGGATAAAAGTAAGTTGGAGAAAAGTGCCCCACCATGCCGAGAGCTGGCAGTTCACGTGCCGTGACCTGGAGGAGGTGGGGCGGACGGTTTCCCAGACCTGCTGTCCTCCACTCCCCTGCCCTGCCCGTCGGCAGTTACTCCAGTCATGCACGCCTTCGGGCTCGAGTGGGGGCCATGGCCGTCTTCCTGAGGCCTGCGGGCCATGGCCCTGGTGCTGGAGACTCGGCCCCCGACCCGCAGCTGTGCTCCGGGGTCGTCCGGCCTGTCCCGGTTGGCACTGCGGGCTTGGGGCAGACTCCTCGGAGTGCAGTTCAGGTCCAAAGTCATGCCTGCCCTACGGTTCTCAGCAAGCACTTCCAAACTGTTTCCAAGAGATCGCCCGGCCCCTCATCTGCTCAGACCGGGCGCTGCCGCCCTGGGTCTCAGCCCTCTCATCCCATCCTGGTCAAAACAAACACATTTTCGCAACAGTTGGGGTACCGCGAGTGGCGGCGGGCAGTGTTCTGGTTTCAGGCTGAGCCTGGCCCTCCATGGACTCCATCAGGGAGGTAGCAGTGAGCGCCAGGGTCTCGGGAGGGGTCGCGCTGTCTGGGAGCAACGCTGGACGGGCCTCTGGCGGGCGGGACAGTCCCCCAGGTCACCTTACCCGCTATCTATCCTGTGCTGGTCCTGGACAAGCCCAGGCATTGTGGAGGTTCTGGGTCCGACTCGGGTCTCTGGCCCAGAGAATGACGGCGGCCCTCAGGCCTTCCTGAGTGGCACCTGCTCAGGGGCGATGAGGAGCTCGCCATGGCAGTGGTGTGGCCTTCCCCGAGTGGGGGCTGCCCGGCCCCAACAGCACTGGCAGTAGACGGAATCGTAGCCGTCAGCCCCAGTGGACAGACGCCAGGCGAAATGCACTCTGCCCCATGGAGAGTCATGTGCGCGTCAAACACAGACTCACAGATGACTTGAGATCGGTTATTCTTTTATCTCCCGGAAATTTATATTTTTGTTTTCCCTTAAAGTATAACCAAAACTCAAGATTTAAAGAACACCCTGAATGTCGTTCCTTCACTCATGGGAGACCCCACGCGAGCCAGCCGTTCCTGGGCGTGCAAGTTAGCGAGGCAGTCCTTGCCTTCCGGCTGTGAAGGGGGAGCAGGCACGCTCCCGCGTGAACCCGAGGAGGCTGGCTCTCCCTGTGTAAGGGGCAGCTGGGAATCACGGTGCACAGGAGGGAAGGCGGTCGGCTCCACCTGGACGCCATCGGGGAGAACTTCAGAGAGCCCCCGAGATCACAGGGAGGGCGGCCAGGCCTCCAGGGCAGCGGGGACAGCGCGCACAACCGGGTGGGACCGTGGCCGCCGCCATTTCCACTGTTAGCCAGACTCACCTGTCTGCGTTGGTGTAAGTGTCCCAGACAGCGGGCGAGTGGCGGGCTCCGTGGGCCACAGGAACATTGGCAGATGTGACGCCATCTCTCCAATGCCCAGAGTGCTTTTTGTGTTCAAACGAGGCGACCTCTGCCTGCTTTTCTCCAGTCCTGTCCCCACCTCGCTGGGACGTCCGCCACTACAGCCATACTGACCCCCACCCCACGTATTTGCGGGAGGGATCCCCAGCCGGTCTAGCATACTGGGTCAGGGTACAGGGTAGGGGCTGGGAACCCAGGCTCTGATGCCCCTGCCTCTGTTCAAATCCCAGCACCAATTCTTAACAGCCATGAGGTTTTGTTTTTTTTTGTTTTTTTTTTTAGAGGTTTTTTTTTTAGGGCGG